GATTGCGCTCTTGAGGTTCATTTACAATCCGTAACCGTATAGGGCTTCTACGAACAAAATATTCCACACAAATTCAACTAAAAATTGAAATTGAATGACATGTCTTAAAACGAGTGTAATAAATAGAAACAAGTCATTTATTTCTATTTCTTGCCGTGTTATGATAGCATCACGAGCATTGATGGATTTCTCTCATACGCCGGACCTACACTTCTTGATATGAGAACACGAACACTTCATTGTTCTTCTCTATTGTTATATACAAACTCTCTATACAAACTCTACATATAAACTCTACTCTATACAAACTCTCTCTCTATACAAACTCTACATATTCTATACAAACTCTCTATTCTATACATACTAATATCCGCTTCTCTATACAAACTGGTAAAGCGGATATGCCAGATAATTACGACGGCTGCATTTCCCTTATAAGCAAATTTCAAAGCAGGAGCTGCCTTATCCGTTTAATGTAAACCAATTACAAACAATTCAGATAAAAATAATTATGATGTCAGCGAGGATGCATTTGTAGGAATGAACTATGAGAGTAAATGTCATTTTATCAGTAAATATCTGAGTAAAGAGATAACTCCTCACTAATTTAAGCAAAATAATTTTTTTAATCAACTTTGATCACGAAGCAAATTTCACGCATGTGAAATGCGCAGAGCTGTTCAGAGGGATGAATTTTTCCAGAGCATTTATAAGCAGATGGTATTGAGGACCTGATAATGTTTATCTTGATTATAAGGCATTAAACGAAATTCAGGCTCACGATAACGGTTGATTGTTTTAATTCTACTTTAAAAGTGGAAGTAACTTAAAATAAAAGGAGTCCTGGTCTGAAGCAAGAGCGTATCAATATTACTAACTACAACAACATTTATTTCAACATTCAGCCATGACAGGTGTATATATATCAAGAAAAGTTCTTGAAGAGAAACGAGTTCCGTTATTACTGTTCTCTTACTTTAAGTTTGATTTCTTTGAGGAATTATTCCTCACAATAAGTTTTGAAGTGCACACGGCCGCTGCGGTACAATAATACTATATCGAAAGCTTATGGTTGCATTTTTAAAATTAGAGGTACGCAACATATTTAAGTCATTGAGCATCACCCAGAATTGTCACCCATTAATTAATTAATCACCCATTATAAGCCAATTTTCAATTAAATTTCAGGTCTTATACCATATTAGAAACTTTGCCTTGAGACTATGAGCGTCAGAGATCCTGAGCTGACATCAGAGATTTCAAACTCCTACAGAGACTGAGCTTGCGTTACAACTTAACCTCATCTGACAGCCTGCCAACGAACTTATCATCCACCGACAGCCGGCAATCCAACTTATCTTCATAAATTCACCGACTTATGCGCGGATTCTATTGTTCTGTTACCATTGCACACTGCGCCTAAGTCGGAACAACTCTTGGAATATACAAGAAATTTGACTCTTGTTTTAAACGCGATGTGGCCGAGGTTAGGATTTAAGTCTGTGTAGAACATAGAGTGGATTAAACTGGCCCTCAAGAAAATCTTTTTCGTATTATGTATTGACTTTGGGTTATTATTAACCAGGATTTATCATGCTGCTCTCAAGCAACAAGACTTTTTGTTTTCGAATTTTGTACGATTTTTTGACGGAAAGGAGTGAATAAAGCAACCGTGGTATTGAGGCGGACTTAATTATGCATACCAATCAATTGTCGAGACTGAATTTGTTAGGGTAAATTCGTTATTTCTTTAAAATCTTTCTTTAAAGAAATTTTTTATTCTTTAATAAAATAAAAAATTTCTTTCGAGTAAAACGAAAATTCGACTAATACGAAACTTTGGCTAATAGAAATTTCGATTAATACAAAACTTCGACTAATACGAAACTTCGACTAATACGAAACTTCGACTAATACGAAACTTCGACTAATACGAAACTTCGAATAATACGAAACTTCGACTAATATGAAACTTCGACTAATATGAAACTTCCCACTAATACGAAACTTCGAATAATATGAAACATCGACTAATACGAAACTTCGACTAATATGAAACATTGACTAATACGAAACTTCGACTAATACGAAACTTCGATTAATATGAAATTTAGTCTAATACGAAACTTAGACTAATACAAAACTTCGGCTAATATGAAACTTCGACTAAAACGAAACTTCGACTAATACGAAATTTCGACTAATATGAAATTTAGACTAATACGAAACTTCGACTAATACAAAACTTCGACTAAAATGAAACTTTGACTAAAACGAAACTTCGACTAATACGAAACTTCGACTAAAATGAAACTTCGACTAATACGAAACTTCGACTAATACGAAACTTCGACTAATACGAAACTTCGACTAATACGAAACTTTGACTAATACAAGACTTCGACAAAACTTCGACTAATACGAAATTTTGAATAATGCGAAACCACTTCAGGTGAATCAATATTTAGAATTAAAATATACTATTATATGCATGGACAGACATAGTTTTTAAAATTATGAATTCGTGCCGAAAAAAAGATTATAGGATGAGTGAGGTTTGACGTGCATCTCGAATTAGAATTTTACCAACTTAATTATAACTGCTTATAAAGAATGGTTTGATACATCATATATAAATTTTTGCGTTATAAAAGTGCGCGAAGAGTCCTTGGGCAAGAAAGGTTGTGTCTATTTTCTGGACATGAAATCTTTCTCAAGTTGAAAGCTTCAGCCTATTCTTCAGTGAAATATTGCATGGGTGTAAAAATGTGAAAAAACGACGGTTCTGAAATAAAAAATTTTACTTCCATTTTTCTCATTTACTGCAGTAAAGCATGCAAAATTTCTCCTGGAATAAAAAATTTTAATGGTTGAACGAAATTTTACCTTTTTCAGCTCATGAAAAACATTCAATATTTGTGTCGCATTTTTCATTATCTTGTAGTCATGAATTGTCTTTCAGTTGCATTCATGTGCTAGTACTTTATTCAATATTATTTTACTGCCGATTCTGTTGATCATCTTACTCTCTAAAATTGAATATTGAACTATATGAAAGATAGAGAGTTTACATAAACATGGAATTGAATTGACCGAAAAAATTATAAAGTTCCCTTTTAATAATAATTTTACTGTAGTTCTTCGTTTTTTGGTAGCCGTTTGAAAATTACATCTTTACATTTCTTGATGTACGGTTCGTTCAATAGTTTGTGTGGGGTCCCAGCAAGCTCATTCAAAAAATTTCAAATTCATTCAAAAAATTTCAAATTCATTCAAAAAATTTCAAATTCATTCAAAAAATTTCAAATTCATTCAAAAAATTTCAAATTCATTCGAAAAATTATCCCTTCAACAACGTGATCACGCATGCATCGCATCCTGAATAGTGTAACGCAATTAAATCTTGCTTTTTCAATTTTGTGTTTCAATCAAGATAATTTTATTGCTTGGATATTAAATTGACTTCTTAAAGCATCATTTTGATCAACCAACTTCATCCGAAGAATATTGTTCGATCCTGAAAATTTAAATCGATGAATTCTCTGACCATTAACCGCCATTGTTCAAACGATCAAATATTTGGAGAGGAGTTATTTCAGCAAAATAAATTTCTTTAGCTTGCAAATGCGATTTCAAGTATTCTAGTAATTATTGTTGCATGCAACCACTTATTCATATTTGTATCTTCCACAGGTGACGCAATAGTAGAACAAATTTCTTTTGCAACGTATAAACTGTAACTAATTTTGTAACTAATTTCGTTATTTCAATAAATGATGGATTTATTCTCTCTTTAAATTTGGTAAAATGTTGCAGATAAAAGATAGATTAGTTACCCTCTAGCTAACAGATGAAAGTTTAACCATCTTGAAATTTGGAACACTTCTACTTTAGAATGGTGGCTTTTTTAGTCCTGAAGCGAATCAGCCGTAGGAATTCAAATTTATCTACTAATTAATCTGCTGAATAAAAATAATAAATTTACTTAAAAAAATAATTACCTTACTAATTAATCTCTCCCAATACTTCTTAGAAAAAACACGTCATCAATGATTTGAGCACGCCCCTCCTAACGACAATCCAGGGTGGCAGTATAAGTATTTTGTCGAAAAAAATTTCACTGTAAGTTGAGAATGCGGCTTCCGTGGAGTCTGTACCCGTCATCTGTAGCACCATGCATTCTCCTGGCGCTCACGGTGCCATCGCTCGTCTGCTCAGATTTCAGTCAAGTGTGAGTTTTTGAAGTAAGATTTTATTATCGTGAATTATTGGTATTATTTTAATAACGTAACATAACATAGTGATGTCGGCGCTGAAGTGTAGGCCTGCATGATGTGGCCTGTCGCCGATTCTTTTCCTTTTCGTGCCTTGTTCATAGATCTAAACTCGTGTCATTTGATCGGATCTTTTCATGACTGGCGATAGTTTGAAGTAGCTACTAGACTTCCACCGGGTTCGATAAGGAGCTAGGCATTTCAAATCTAGGAGCTAGGCATTATCGTGAATCAGACTAGCAGGTTCGATGAAATAAATTCCTCCCTAAATGACAATACATAGGGCGAAATGAAATGATTTACTGGTGAAAAGAAATGAGGTACAGGTTAAATATTTGTTATATTGCGCACTATTTACTGGTGATCTTTAGTACAGCGATGTAGCTTAGCGTAAATATTAGAATTTGTGCACATAAAAAGCGCGCATGCGGTTGTATAGAACAAACTTGAATTTTCAGTTTCCGTTTCATCACTCAAAATTAGCATCGTAACTCGAGTGTTCTTGGCCATTGGCGTGATGGCCGGGCCTATTATGAAGAAGAAAATATTTTCAGAAATTTTGATCTAGAAAGTAATATCACTGGAATTGACAAGCATCAATTTCAAGTTCTTATAATGAGGGTAAAGTTTCGTCTGAGTATATATTTAGTCATGAAATTGATAAGCTGCTGTTATAAAGCCAGTTAGTAATAAAACTTTATGTTGTTGTTCTACAGTTCGAGTCCGATGGACGACACACTTCTGCAGCTCTCTAACATCCTGCCAGAAGATGCCAAGACCTACGACAAGATGCGCCCGCCATCCGCTGACGGTGAACAAAATAACCTCTGCTTACAAATTATTTTTCGTCATTTACATTTATTTATGTTATAAATTATTGAATTCTTCAATGATTTTAATTATGAATATAATTAAATAATTTAATAACAATCATGCTGAAATTTTGATCGTGTTGATGATGTCAATTGGCGTGGAAACAAATTTCTCGTTCCTAGTTGAATGTTCAACTCAATGTTGAATGAAGAGGCATATCAGGCCATAAACTCATGTTATGCCATTCATGTGAATGCTAGTTTAAAATAAAGCTGAGACGAAAATATTGATGTAGTAATAGCCAAGTAATTGCTCTAAGTAGCAGGCAAGTAGGAAAACCTTCCTGAATAAGCTATTGGGTATTAGATGACTTGGTCAATTGAGTAAAAAAAATGAAGAATCTCCAGCGTATTATTCATGCGTGAAAAGATCATTTATTGAATTCTTCATAAATTCTTGAATGAAGTGCTCTGTGAATGTTTAAATTCACACGTGAAATTACACAAGCATTTCTACTGCACTGAAATGTTAAATGATTCCCGTCACAGGCAGCCCGACTGTGGTATACTTCCACGTGACCGTCATGAGTCTGGACTCCATCGATGAAGGCTCGATGGTGAGTTAATGATACGTTTGAATCTTGCGTGCACTTTCGTCTGTGTCATTATTAATTCAATAATGTGATAGAATGTCAATGGATACTGCTAATAAAATTACGTTACATAATTTCTCAGCCAAATTGTATTAATCAGAGACTGAAACTGTGCGTAGTCTATGATTCACTGAGAATTATAAATTTTCGATCAACACCTTTATACGTCATAAATTTTATTAGTCATGAGACTCATATTATTCAAGAAATTATTAGAAACTATTTCTGAAGCCCCTAACTCAATTTCTACACGAAGTAAAAATTAAGTAACACATGATCATCGTTATACTAGGCCTTGTTATGTAGTTATGGCGCATGCATATGTGGTTGAACCTACCATCTTGACTTTATGCTTTCGATTGATCGACTTCATAAACTGCACTTTAATTTGCATTGATTTAATACGATTGACTAGGCCACTGACTTAGATGCAGGCCGTTAAATTGGTTATTGTGGTTTCTTCTTTATACATTACAGATGTCAAATTTTTTATACCTTCCAATTTTTATTTTGCTAATTTTAGATCATAATTATTTTTTTGACGTGGGTTTGCATACATATTTTAACCTAATTTTAGTATTTGCATCAAAAAATTGAAAAATGTAAAGCTGAAAAAGTCGAAGAACATTTGTACTTATTCGTATTCACGCTCACATTTAGAATTATTGATGTAACCTTTCGGAAATTGTTCACTGGAAAACTGGGCAAAATTTTGGAGGTCAGAATCGACAGAAAATATTGAGCTGATTAAAAAATAAATAAATGAAATAATAGGTTTTACAAATTTTTTCCCTGCATATGCAGGTTAGCATTTATAAATTATTTCACGAATAACAACTCTAAATTGTTAGTACATAGTTTCAAATGAAGTACCAAAGTATGAAGGTGACTAAAAATCAACTTTGCTGCCATCACATTCGACCACAACATCAGAACAACATTTTAAAATTTTTTTAATTTAGTAAATACCAAGATCGGCTGAAGCCCGTTCAGAAAGAAAGTTATTACGGAAATAGCTTGAAAAGCCTAATATTGAATAAACATTAATATAGTTTATACGTTTTGATTCACGCGCAAACGTCTCTCGTACAGACGTACGCGGCAGACATTTTCTTCGGCCAGAGCTGGAAGGATCCTCGTCTTCGCTTCCCCAACATGACGGGGATGTACCGCCTGCTGCCGGTGTCGTGGCTCAACGAAATATGGCGGCCAGACTCCTTCTTCAAAAATGCCAAGTCCGTCACCTTCCAAAAGATGACCATTCCCAACCACTACGTTTGGCTTTACCATGACTCGACGATCCTATATATGGTCAAGTGAGTATCAATATCTTATTAACAAAAACCTTTATGCCTATTGTGAAGTAATCATTGCAATTTATTTCAGCAATTTACTGCCACTTTTAATGTATATTCTATGGGGTTGGAATAAGTATACACACGTCGTTTCCCTTAAGTAGTAGTAGTAAAAAATTAATCTTTAATCTACACGGGCTGAACTAACTTAATCTCTATTGCCTGAGTCTCAAAATGTTTAAGAGGCATTATTCTCGAAATTCTAAAGTTAATCCGGCTGTATATTTATTCACTATTCTTGGATTTCACAATAAAAAGCACGGAGCTTGTATATACGACTATATAATCCTCACGGATGATTATTTAACACGGTCATTTAGTGATTTCAAAATAAAAACCATGAAGTTTGTAAATACGTCATTATAATCATCAGGGAGGATATTTTAACATGGTCATTTATATGAAAGATGCAATTTTTTCCCATGTACTCCTGTTTATCTATTATTTTCAACAGATAATTAAGTATAAGTGATCTTCCAACAGTCAAGCTGTTTTTCATATTTAGCGCTGGTGTGAAGGATTTGAATGCAGGAGCGTCGTAAATTACTTAGCTGTCACCGTACAGGGATTCTCTTGGTCGTACCTCAACGAGGAGAGATGGCCCCTGAAATTTGCACATTTCTCTTAACCACCGCAGTGACAGAAATATGGTTATTGTGAACACGAGATGAAGGGAAGATCATGAATGAACTCCGTAGTGTGCTTGGTTTCCTGCTCTTGGATTCTTATATTGTGTTTATACCTCACAAAGGAAGGATATTAATGGTTAATTATAGCATGAGTTTGTACACTGAATCGCCGGTTAGACCATATATTTTTAATTGTTTAGACCATATAATTGTTTAGACCATTACCGGTTAGACCATATATTTTTAATAGGTTGTTTGCATTTAATTATATAGTCTTTTCAATAGATTTTATATTTTTTTCAGGCTAACGCTGCTGCTGTCTTGTGCAATGACTTTCCATTCCTACCCTCACGATACGCAAAAATGTGCGATGAAAATCGAATCCCGTAAGTATTACCGGGTTTTGAATAGATCGATTCAAGGAAAATCCTTCAAAAAAATTAAAATAATTATAGCGGTTAAGTGAGCGATTCGAAGTCGATGCTACTCAGTATCCTTATTGTGACTTCATACTGAAGGCAACTTGAAGTTATAAGGCTCGGGGGATAGAATGAATCGGACTTTACACTGTACATGAATGGGGCTTCACACTGTACAGGGATGTATTGGTGATTATAAATGGTCATGTGAGTCACACTTTGGAAATATTTGTCGGGTTTTAATGCTGGAGATGTGCCCAGTAAATATATTTTAGTGTATTGAAAAAATTCGTGTCGCTCAGAAAAATCCAGAAAACTTTGAGAGGAAATTGGAAAAATCCATTAATTTTTTAAACCCCGAATTTCCCATCGAAGTTATAGTAACTTCTTTACTATAAGGGCCCTTCATCGATAATGTTTGCTTCAAGTGTTGATATTGATACTTTAATTCCTTTACCCAACTTGTTAGACTATAGTGATTGTTTATCGCAGTCTCCCATTTAATTCCATTACCTAGCTTGTACGATTATAGTGATTGAGTATCGCAGTCTCCCATTTAATTCCATTACCTAACTTGTAATATTATAGTGATTGTTTATCGCAGTCTCCCATTTAATTCCATTACCTAACTTGTTAGATTACAGTGATTATTTATCGCAGTCTCCCATTTAATTCTATTACCTAGCTTGTAAGATTATAGTGATTGTTTATCGCAGTCTCCCATTTAATTCCATTACCTAACTTGTTAGATTATAGTGATTATTTATCGCAGTCTCCCATTTAATTCCATTACCTAGCTTGTAATATTATAGTGATTATTTATCGCAGTCTCCCACACGACGGCTGACCTGGTGTTCACGTGGGAGCCTGAGGTGCCCCTGGAGGTCGACGAGAGCATCGAGCTCCCCCAGCTGGACCTCGTCTCCAACACCACGGGCGACTGCACGCAGGTTTATTCCACGGGTCAGAACATGATTAATTATATCATTAAGTTATTCATTTATTGTATGCACGTTATTTATATCGAATAAAGTTTTGTTAATCATTTGGTAAATGTGAAATATACGAGAGAAAATTAGCAAAATTGTATAACTTATGACTGATTCTTAAACTAGCTGCATTTAACCTGATATTAAACGCCTCTACATTCATCGTAGGAAACTTCACGTGTTTGGAGCTGTCGTTCACGTTCAAAATGCATAATATTTAATATGTTGGTTGTTAACTTTGATAGCATTTAACCTTGTATTAAAAACCTCTACATTTATTGCAGGAAACTTCACGTGTTTGGAGGTGTCGTTCACGTTCAAGCGACGCCTGGGCTACTACCTCTTCCACACCTACGTGCCTACGTGCCTCATCGTCATCATGTCGTGGATCTCATTCTGGATCAAACCTGAAGCTGTGCCCGCCAGGGTTAGTGTCTTCATGGTTGAACAAATACTAATACCAATACAAATAATAATGAATATTAATAATAATAATAATAATAATCAAACCTGAAGAGGTGCCCGCCAGGGTTAGTAACTTCATGGTTGAACTAATAATAATAATAATAATATTAGTTCAACCGTGAGTAACTTGGTTCGAATGTCGTGGGTTACTACCGCCGAAACTAGGTTAGTGCTGCCACGTGAAGTGCTTTGAGCTCCTGGTACCGTGCAATGAAAATGTAATCATAAATATATTACATAAAAAAATTATAAAAATAATAATACAATGTGTACAAAATTGTAATATAATATTGTAAATATATATTCAATTATATATAATACAAATTAATTAAATATTTTAAATATTTACGTATCTTATTAAACATTGGAGCGTCTTTTGCATTAGTACCGGCGATCTTAAAAAATAAATTGACATTTATTAGAGATCACTCAGTATAATAAGAGAAATATAAAGCAAATTCACTGGGCAGGTGACGCTGGGTGTGACGTCGTTACTGACGCTCTCCACCCAACACGCCAACTCGCAGAAAAGTTTGCCGCCAGTCTCCTACATCAAGGTAGGTATATAAAATATTCTATAAAATATTATATATATATAAAATATTATATATATATAATATACAGTCTCCTACATCAAGGTAGGTATATACAGTCTCCTACATCAAGGTAGGTATATACAGTCTCCTACATCAAGGTAGGTATATACAGTCTCCTACATCAAGGTAGGTATATACAGTCTCCTACATCATAGTAGGTATATACAGTACGGTCTCCTACATCAAGGTAGGCACTATTAATTCTCACATTATCAACAAATATCCTACATCTGTGCACGGATATCAGTACTGGGCAGCTAGGTACTATTGCAGAGTGCTAGGTTTATTATTAATAAATTATGATGCATCAATTTCCTATGCATTTCCTATGCATTAAATGTAATAAATTCGTATTAATCGTAATAATAATAAATAAACTTATATGCCTGACGACATTTAGACCCAAAGAAGCATTGACTTACGTCTGATTGTGGCACGCATGGAGTGTTGCGGTAAACATATTTTTTGTTATGCCTTTAATCTATTGTCTTCGCGTATTTACCATTTAAGTTAGAAGACAAAACTATGATTTATATGCTTGGCGGTTGGCATACTCCTCGAATAAGATCTATCCAAGATCTTTTGAATTGATGGAATGTTTTCATTTGTGCTGCAGTCTCTGATAAATGATGTGCTGGAAAGCCTTTGGGTCCTGTTATAGCCGGGAGAGCATTTTCCATAGCATTTCACAATTGTTCCATAGCATTTCAAATTGTTGTTGTGATGAGATGCTTTGACAGCTTAGCAAATTCTCCCTGAAAACGTCAGGATTAAAGGATGTGATAGAAGTTCAGGTATCCATGTAGTGACTCGTTAACAGACACCCACCATCATCACCCCACCACCCACCATCTTTAACTGACACCCACAATCATTGCCACCATCATCAGTTACTTCAGATCAATGCACGTTAATGTATTGTACAATAAACGGCGACAGGCCTATTCTTCACCGTCGAAGATTACTATACTATACTATACTATACTATACTATACTATACTATACTATACTATACTATACTATACTATACTATACTATACTATACTATACTATACTTTACTATACTCTATACTATACTATACTTTACTGTACTATACTATACTATACTATACTATACTATACTATACTATACTATACTATACTATACTATACTATACTATACAATTGTTACAGGCGATCGACATGTTCATGTCATCCTGCACGGTGTTCGTGTTTCTATCCCTCATGGAGTACGCTGTCGTGAACGTCATCATCGGTGACATGGTTGAACGTCGGAAGCAAGATACTTTCATGGCAAAAATCACAAAGAAACTCGACGGCAAAATGTCAAAAAATAAAAAGGCGGCCGAAAAGGTAAGTACAAAATTCAGAAATTGTTAACGAAAAATATTAAACGAGTAATCGCCTCAAATGAGACGAGTAATCGCTTTTTGTTCCCTGGGCGAATAAAGAAAATATTTTAGTAATATGTAGTTTAAAACGATTAGATCCATCCATGATTAATCATTTGTAAAAATTAATTAACACTTTACCATAATCGTCGGTTTATTCTTAGTTCTATTTGTGCTTACGGTAATGAATTTATAACTAATCAATGCAAAATACTTAATTCTTTTAATCATCATCACGCTTGTCGTTTACCTTAGTTGCAGTCCCATGCTCTTCAGTCTGCCGATTCATGTCCTTGCTGTCGCCAAGAATGTTCATGCTGCGCGCCGGGGTGTGAAACTCCAGGCCAGGATTCAATCACATTCAGTTCCACACCGAAACCGTTACTGGTGAGGAACATTGTGCAACGCGACTCAAACAGCGGTGAATTAGTAAATCAATCCGGGCACTCAGGCACAGCTCAAAGGCCTCAGACTCCGCTGAACTCTTGCTTCCAGCCAGCTGGGACGACAGCCACAATACGGCATCCGCCTCTTGGATCAACACGTTCCCCTTCATTCGTCAGATCCAAGGTTGCTAAGGACCTTCACCGCGATATAAACAACCGGTTTCCACAGACTGAACCACAAAGTAGTTGCAATTGCGTACATGCTGCTAATCTACTTATAAAACGACGCAATTTTCAAGATCCGCAACGCCCGAAGCTGGAGTCTCAGTCCTCGATACCGTCGCTAAGCTTCTACCAAAACTTGCAATCAGAAGGTAATGGATCTAATTCTAATATATCCAGAACTTTCCTCCTGGAAATGCGTGATGCAAGAGCAAAGGCAATTCTCGTTGATCGTTTCTCTAGAGTTTTTTTTCCTCTGTCATTTACGATTCTGAACATTCTATACTGGTACGTCTATTTTGATTGGTGAGGATTTCGCATAGAAGTACGATCGAGTCACTTTTGTTCATTAACCTTTAAGTGTTTTAATAAACATATCACCATTAATACTAAAGTCATGTTGAGATAAATAATTAGTGCACTATAAGTATATGTGAGTGGGCTGTATATATTCTATCTCTGGCCATATGCTGACCTCGATCAAAATTAATTTGCGGGTCCAAATTTATTTCGATCAAAATTTATTTTCCCTGATTACCAACAATGCAGTCAACTATTCAATACGGTTAAATTAAGGCATTCTATTTGTCAAATATTCCAATAATAAGTCAAATATTTTACAAAAAAGATTCGTCCAATTGTGGATTCTGTTTTGTGAGCGGAAACTCACAAAACTTTACAACATGAAACTAGGAGTATAGCCTATAGGGCCGCTATAACGGGCCTCATAATATATTATCATTAGTATCTTCTTTGTTGGAGCTTATCATGATAAATTGACCAACATCTATTATGTTTCACAATCAATCTCAGGGTCATAGCCTCACGTGTAAATAGTTGTTTCACGTGTAAATAGTTACTACTAACTTTAAATTCGTCTTCTTGCTGATGCCACTTCTGTCAATTTCATTTTTAGAACCCCAGTCTACAACATTTACGATATCTCGGCGTCACACCACTTCGTATTAACTTTTCTTCTATAAAGAGCATATGAAAGCATGACAAATGTAATATGTTACTTTTGACTGAAGAACTTGTCAATTTGATAAAATTTTCAAGTATTTTATTTTTGGTCAACTGGCATTTTAATGAAATTAAAAATGTTCCACGAAAACTTTCGTCAGTACCCACTGTACAGTCAAAGGAAATAGTCGATGTTGCTCGGAGCCTCCGTATATGCTCTCAGAAAAATAAATGGCTCGTATTGTCTTTATAATGACACACTTTACGTACGTAGCACCAATACGCCATTTAGCCGGGAAAACTGGGTCACGATGACCCGCACAAAGTTAGAAAATATAACTCAGTACTCACTGCCGTGAGTGACAGAGAGCGCATTTTCTCGTCGATGATGAAAACTTGAGGTCACGGACAGACGGACGGACGGACATGGCGAGCACAATAGCGCATTTTTTCCATAAATGAGAAAATGCGCTAAAAATTCATCGCTATTCAGACAAATCTCAATCATTTCGCTGACTTCGGCCTTGATAGCGTCGATGTTTTGAGCAGAGCGAGAGCTACGTTGGCAAGGCTCAGGCCGCCTTGCACTTCGAGGGCTAAAAGTGAACCTAATTACGAGTGAAATTGGTTCCTAGCAGTTCGATAGATTTTAGAGTTCATTCAGTTTATTCATTACAATATCCATTCATTGTATTTATTACTATATTCATTCATTGTATTTATTGCTATATTCATTCATTTTATGCAATGTCTTTAGTAATAAGCGTTAAGAAATGTGTAATATAATATTTGCCTCGAAACTCGCACCTCAATTTTAATAATACTGTGTGTTGAAATACAGCATCTTTTTACTGCCCTTCAAATTAGATTTTTTCCGGTGAAGAAGGGAATAGGATATAAATCATGATAAGGTGAATAGGATTTGAATTTCAAATTGTCATTTTCCTAGCTGGTTATTAATCCTCAGGTAAGACTTGCTCCAATTTTGACCCTTTTTGCCAGCTTTCTGTCATAAGTATAAGAACAATTTCTAAAGCCTGTGCTTTATTGCCGTACAAAATATCGAATATTAACTAAGAATTACGAAGTAAATCATAACATTTCTTTTTGATGGAAGCTTTCATCGATGCTTGATATTAATAGAAATAGATTCTATTTTTTGAAGTGCATGCATTTTCACAAATGAAAGGAGGCCAGAAAAAGTAAAGGGAATATAAACATATGTGCTAATAGTTTTATAGTTAGTTCAATTTACCGAAATTTTCTACTGTGGTTCTGGTCGTATTCTCGCTAGAACAACAAATATTTTAGAACTTCTTGGTATGTTAGGAAAACTTTTTCACTTTTTTTATGTTAAGAAAACTTTTCTTCAACATGGCAGGTCAAGCAATTAACTCAACAGAATAGCGCATTCACCGAGCAATTCGAGCATGAACGAACAAATTAAAGTTGTAATTGAAATTGAAAATTTCAATTACAATTTGAAAACCTATTTGAATAGTAAAGTCGTGTCCATTTCTATGTTTCGAGCAAATTAAAGCAAAATAGAACAATATGAGTAAATATTTTAATTTAAGAAAGCTGTGCCTTTTCAGATATGAAATCAATTATAGGAAAAAATCAGAAAATGGAGAAAAAAAAATTCAAAATGGTGTAATCCATTTATTGCAACACGATTTCATTCTCCAATCCTCACAAGAAGATCCTCCGGGAACATCTTGTTGGATAGAAAAATAGTGTGCCATAGCACCCGGGATTCATGGTTGAACTATATAAGGTTGACCCACGAGAAGTTCCGTCTTTCAGTTCAGCTTTCTTGTTACGTCACGTAGATCGAGAAACGTAAACAAACCCGTCATTCCCATGACGGATTGGTTGACTGGTTTGATTGCATTTCGGTGATTGGTTAATGCCCGTGACGTCACTGAGATCAGTGACATCACAGGCGAAAAACAAACTACATCCACAAAAATGAGCTTCTCTTGGGTCAACCTTATACTAGTTCAACCTTGCCCGGGATTGGCCACACGATCAAGGCATCCAGGGTTCAGTGACGACCTGCGGCCGGATTATCAAAACTTCGTAACTTTTTGTACTTACGACAAAAAAGTTCTGTGGTACGTAAATACACCCTAATTTTGGCATTATCAAAATTTTCGTACGCAAGTCTTAGCTAAAAGCCTAAATTTTTTCCCCGCGCAAATTTTTATCGCGCAAATGTTTTTATAATACCACCGCTAGTATTACGTTGTCATAGTAACGCCACTCGTAAGTCGATTTTGCGTACTTACGAAGTTTTGATAATACGGCCCCTGAGGCCGCTGTTAAGTAATTCATAAGAATAAAGAACACGCGCCCTGCACTTCACTATGGACGGGAATCGTCTCTCACATTTCCACTCTTTCCTTAAATTTAAAGTTAATTCTTAATTTATCAATTTTAGTCTGCACAAGGCATGTCAAGTGCTAATCCCCAATATGAATTGCTTGTTGGATTCATGATTCAACTATTTATAAGCACCTGGCTGACATCAGCCATATCCTTGAATTTGTACTTTTAAAGGGAGGAAAAGAGACAGAGTAGCGATCAATTTCTGACGTACGAAATATTACAGCACCACGAGTGAATTCTTTTTAAAATAAAAGTCCACGTGAAAGTAAACCAAGAGGTTGAAATCTTGGCATGCATTTACACTGAAATTGAACTGATTGAAGTGCCATTTCAGCATGAAGAAAAAAGCTGAAACCAATGCGAAAGAAAAGCTTACTCATGGAAACACTTAGCTTCCAGCCTTTAAAACAAATAATTATTAAGGCTTAATATTAATTGAATATAAAATTTCAGTCATTGCGTGTGGATCACGATAATTAAATTTATAAAATTTAAATTCAATAAGTGTTTGAACCCAGCTCTATTTACTTAACAGTACCTTAGCCTGATAATTATTATAATTGTTGGGAAGACGTTAACGCGATAATTAATTTTCAAAGATAATAGTCCGAGCCAACATGGGTTCGGCTAATAGTAAATAACTGGCTTGAAAGATTGCAAAGAATTACTATTTTTGTACTAAAACTATTCTCTAAATCAACTGGCAGCATAGAGCTGTTCAAATATGGCTCCACTGACAGGGAGAGTTTGGCTCCACTGACAGGGGAAGTTGTGCTCCACTGACAGGGGGAGTTTGGCTCCACTGACAGGGGGAGTTTGGCTCCACTGACAGGGGAAGTTGTGCTCCACTGACAGGGGGAGTTTTGCTCCACTGACAGGGGGAGTTTGGGTCCACTGACAGGGAGAGTTTGGCTCCACTGACAGAGGGAGTTTTGCTCCACTGACATTGGGAGTTGTGCTCCACTGACAGGGGGAGTTTTGCTCCACTGACATGGGGAGTTGTGCTCCACTGACAGGGGGAGTTTGGCTCCACTGACAGGGGAAGTTGTGCTCCACTGACAGGGGGAGTTTTGCTCNCAGCAGCAGCAGGAGGGGCAGGACGTACCTGCAGCAGCAGGAGGGGCAGAACGTACCTGCAGCAGCAGGAGGGGCAGAACGTACCTGCAGCAGCAGCAGGAGGGGCAGGACGTACCTGCAGCAGCAGGAGGGGCAGAACGTACCTGCAGCAGCAGGAGGGGCAGGACGTACCTGCAGTAGCAGGAGGGGCAGGAGGCCCAGGAAGTAGCAGGCCTGAGGGGTGGAGATGAGGGGCAGGGTGAGGGGGCGGCGAGGGGCGAGGCGCTTGTGGTCGTTGGGGTACCAGTGCAGGCTGAGCAACCGCCAGCACAGCAGCGTGTAGCTCGCGTGCAGCGACACCTGGGGCAGCAGTGGGTGGCATTAGGGTGGCATGATAGGGCACGACTGTGGTATGAAAGTGACATGACTGTGGTATGAACGTGGCACGATACGGCATTAGTGTGGCATGAAAGGGACATGACTGTGGTATGAACATGGCACAATATGGTATTAGAGTGGCATGAGAGAGGCATGACAGTGGTTTGAACGTGGTACGATATGGCTTTAGTGTTGTATTAAAAGGACATGACTGTGGTATGAACGTGGCACGATATGGCTTTAGTGTGGCATGAAAGAGGCATGACTGTGGTTTGAACGTGGCACGATATGGCATAAGTGTGGCATAGATGTGTAATAAGTGTAGCATGAAGTAGTGGCAACAGACAAGTCGTTCTGGCACCTGAGCTACAAGCTCTCGATCTTTTCCCAAAACCCTTAGTTTTTATGTGTGGTAGCGATAGTCCACTAATTTTAGTAATTTCTCTGAGGGCATTTATTTATTTCTTAATTTGAATTTTCAATTATGCCAGAACTTTCCGAGTTCCGTCCGGTAAGATTAGAGTGACAGTGAACCGTGAAATAGAGTGGCTGTAACCGTAAAATAGAGTGGCTGTGAACCGTAAAATAGAGTGGCTGTGAACCGTAAAATAGAGTGGCTGTGATTGCCTTGTAATAATCTTACTAAGCAATACTAAGCAGGCTGAGCAAGTGTCCAGACTCTTACATTACTAAGCAATACTAAGCAGGCGCACGTATGAACACACGGAGCCATGGTAAGAAATATTAGGCACTGGTAAGCAAAACTGAGCAGTAGGCATTGGTAAGCAATAGGTACTAAGCACGAGTAGGAAACACTAAGCATGGGCAAGCAGCGCTAAACAACACAAAACACATGTGAGCATCACTAAGCACTAGTAAACAATACTTAGCACTAGTGAACAACACTAAGTATCACTAAGCAGTAAACAACGCTAAGCACTAGTCGACAACACTACGTTTCACTAAGCAGTAAGCACCGCAAAGCACGCACGTGAGCGGGATGATGACGAGCAGGATGGCCTTCTCGTGCACGTGCCAGCCGAACATGAAGGAGCAGAACCCGCACAGCACAGCGCCCCTCACGGCGCTCCACGGCGCCCGCCCTCGCCGCCACACCCACACCAGCCCGGGCTGCGGGGCACGGGTACATTAGGGGTAAGAGGGTACATTAGGAACACGGGGTACATTAGGGCACGGCGGGGTACATTAGGGCACGGCGGGGTACATTAGGAACACGGGGTACATTAGGGCACGGCGGGGTACATTAGGGCACGGCGGGGTACATTAAGGCACGGCGGGGTACATTAGGGGCACGGCGAGGTACATTAGGGGCACCCAGGGGTACTTAGGGCATGGCGGGGTACATTAGGGTAAGAGGGTACACCAGGGGTACATGGGTACAACAGGGGCATGGTGGGGCACATTAGGGGCACCCAGGGGTACATTAGGGCACGGTGGGATATAACAGGGGGCGCAGGGTGATGGGCAAGAGGGGTGAGGAGAAGCACTGTAGGCTCCTTATTTACGACATACTTGCCGTCATATATCACCCCTAACCACCAGTCACGCATACTCACCATCAGCCACAACCACTCAAAACTACTTAACGCCACATGTCACTAGCCACAACCACTCAGAACTACTTAACGCCACGTGTCACTAGCCACAACCACTCAGAACTACTTAACGCCACGTGTCACTAGCCACAACCACTCAGAACTACTTAACGCCACGTGTCACTAGCCACAACCACTCAGAACTACTCAACGCCACGTGTCACTAGCCACAACCACGCAGCGCACAAACACCACGCACTATCACTCTCAACCACGCAGCGAACAAACACCACGCACCACCACTCTCAACCACGCAGCGCACAAACACCACGCACTACCACTCTCAACCACGCAGCGCACAAACACCACGCACTACCACTCTCAACCACCATGAACTATTCAATACCACTCTGTCACGACTCACCCACTACCACTCTCAACCACCATGAACTATTCAATACCACTCTGTCACGACTCACCGCCATGGCGGCGGCCGTGAGAAGGAAGGCGGCGGCGGGCGGCGGGCTGGGCAGCACGGAGAACTGCAGCTCCTGGACGCGGCCTGACGTGCTGGCCAGCGTGCTGTTGCTGGGCCCCAGCAGCCCAGCACGACGTCCTGTACGAGTACCAGTTATAGGGAGGCAATGTACTTTTGCTGGGCATCTGGTAGTTATGCCGTGACTATGCGGTGAACATGTAGTGGTCATGTAGTGGCCATGCAGTAAACATGTAGTGCTCATGTAGTGGCCAAGCAGCGGCTATGCAGTGATCATGTAATGGCCATGCAGTAGCCATGCAGTGATCATGCAGTAGTCATGCAGTCATCATGTAGCAGCCATGCATTAGGCATGATGGTTGCCTCAATAAATTGCTGTTGTATCCAAGGCTAGATGGTGAGGTAAATATTTCGGCCGGTAAACCAGCAAAAACAATACGCCAACAACAAACGAGGGGTGACCCCCCCAAAAAACGGGCTACCTGTGTGGTGCGCGAAATTTTGACAGTACCGGATTCTCCACGTATGTCTATATGCTACTGTCATATATCAGTTAGTGTGTCAAGCATTGCTGCCCTAGAATGTCTTGTATCATTTTCACAATTTTTTTATGATACTTCTTTTGTGCGCTCATTGTTTTTTTATGATTAATTCTCGTGAGCAACGTGCAGCCATCAAATTTGGCTTTCTTCTGTGAATAACTGGGAAGGAAACACTACAAACAGCCTACAAGGATGATGCTATGGGGAGAACACAAGTTTTCGAATAGTTTTCCACGCTTAAGAAAAGGAGAAATGTCAATTAATGACCAACCTTGCCCAGGTAGTCTTTCCACTGACCGCACTGAAGAAAATTTTAATTTTTTTCCAGCAAATTTTAAATGATTTTGTATAGATGAATAAATTAAAATAAAACGGTCCTGTTTTTTTTGGTCCTCCCTCGTACAGCGAACCAGCAAATTGTTCTCAAGCCCCGTGACAAGGATGAGCGTCAATGAGTACCCGTAACTCATGGAGTGACAAGTTGTGAGACAATATGTTGGCTTAAGTAGAGAAAACAGAATGACATTTACCTACGGTCAGGATTCCAGGTGAGCACTTGTAAAGTTTTGAACTATTCGTGATCAAGATGCTGGAGTTGGGAAAGACAAGAATGACTCAACAATATTCAACACTTTGACTCTGATTGCCTAATCTTGTACTATTATTTCATATTTGTACTGTTTTTAACAGGGTTGCCAGACGGTCATTTTTTCCGGACAAATTCCGCGATTTAGTTTTTTTCAATTGCGTTGGCCGGCTAAAATTTATGATAGGGGTACTTAATAATTAAATTTGAAATACTGCAAAAAGAAAATAAATGGAAATTCTACAGCGGAACCTACAAATAAACTAGTATATATTGAGTTATCGGCCTTCTTTGTTCTCAGATTTGGCCGATTTGAGGCAACCTGAATCATGTACCACTACGTCCTGGAGAACTACATTTCGTGGTACGCATATGTACCATATCGGAGTCAACGTGTTAATGAAAATTTAAAAGATAAATTACACTATTTTAACACATATCATATCAGTACTGCAGAGCCCATAAGACAAGAACTTCTGCTACATAGCAGGCCACATACGTACTCAGAACCCTCACGTACCAAGAATGGCCAGGGCCCAGTCAGCGGTGTTGTAAAGGGCCCAGAAGTTGGGGGCCCAGTAGGCGTGGCTGAGGCCCCGCTTGAAGGGGAATAATCGCGACAACACCTGAGAACACGAAGGGCATGAGGCATTATGGGACAAGAGGTATGATGGGGAAAGAGGTATGATGGGGAAAGAGGTATGGTGGGGCATGGGGAGCATAGAAGGAATGAGAAGCATAGAGGGTAACATGTAAGACGTATGGTAAAAAAAGAAGGCACAACGCATAATACTTAATGTGGGGTTATCTTGCTGTCAGAACAAAACACATACTAGTGTAAAACAGTGGCATCGACGGCCGAGATTAGGCCGAGTCTGGTCAGTCGCCCCTTCTAGAAATCACAGAATTTTCATGGGTAGCCGAGATTCAAACCTCAAACTAGCTGTTCAAATCTTGCTGCTATTAACCGATTGGCCATTCCACCACATTGCCCAGCAGAACCCCGTACTGCACCTGGCCCAGCAGAGCCCCGTACTGCACCTGGCCCAGCAGAGCCCCGTACTGCACCTGGCCCAGTTGTCCCATGATCACGAAGGGCCCAAAAGCGATGGCGACGACTGTCAGGGCAGGCAGGGCCAGCTGGGCCGTGGCCCAAGCCGTCGACTTCCACATTACAGGACCTCCTCCAGGCATCCTTGGCGAGAAAAGAAGGAAAAGATAAGCAATAAGTGGTCTTAGTATTTTGCGGTATGATAGTCTTAACTCTTCCTCATACCATAACGTCCGTGAGCGGCCAGCACTGGACGCAACAGACGGTTTCCAGGAGGCCAATGAATGGTCAGTGGTCGGTAATCCTGAGCATTAAGCAGGCTCTGTTACTTGAAACAGGGAAGACATGAACAATAAGTAGAGGTACTCCAAGGTCTTGACGGAACTGCTGCTCAGCAACCACGACTCTGAGATCATGTGAGGACCATCTTCACCTGGGGACCCCGCCCTCACATCAATACAAATCATCACCTTCACATCAGGGTCCATCTTCACCCTCACATCAGAGCCCACCCTATTGTTGTGTTGTTGTAATTGCCCATCCTGGTAGTGGCGACTAGGGAGGGAGGGGTGGTGATAGGTCAGTTTTTCTGGGCACTCGGTACCACTGGTAGTTCTACAACCATCACTGGCTCGCTGACCCGCCAGAACCATTTTATTGCATTACACAACACCCTGGACAAGCCAGGTACTCATTTATCAGCCAGAGTTGAATGAATGGCTGAGCTTCCCGGAAGAACTTGTCCTCAGTGGGACTCGAACCCGGGAGCTGGGTGCGAGAGACAGAGTCCCTCACCACTGCACCACCACAGCTCTAGAGCCCACCCTCACCTGCGCAGGCAGTGCACACGCAGCAGGTAGAGCAGCAGGGCAGGAGCCAGGTATATGAAGAGATGCTTCAGGCAGAGCAGCGCACTGAACCACAGTGTCGCCTCCACGTGCCGGCCCTGCAGACATACCAGCATTATAGCCTCAAAAACTAGAAACGCATCATAGACTTGCTTTCATACCTTTTGTTGAATCAAAAACAAAGGTGGAATCTGAATGTTTAAATTATTAAATATGAAGGTATAAAGAATAGAAAACATTGCAGATTCAAGAAATTGAATACGTCCGCGATATATCAAACATTGAATGGCTTACAGTGATAAATGATATCAAGCGCGAGTCTCAACTCCTGTAAAATTATCAAGAAAATTTTTCCCCTAGTTCTGTCGCGACTTTAAATGACCATTTTCACCACCCAGCAAGTACCCCCAAGTGAACAGAAGCTGTTACTGTCAAAACTCTTTCAGGTACATATAGCGGCCTGAGTACATGTAACGACCTATTTTTTGTCTGATATTGGTGATTTTAGCTTGAATTCTGTCGGTGATTTCAAGTTAAAATGATAGGGTTACAGCCTCTCAACTATTTTGGCAATCCTCACATGGCATATAACAAAAGATTTATAGCCAGCTTAGAAAAACTAAAATCAGATCGGCAGTGTATTTATAAGCTCGCAGCAGCAATAAAAAAAGTTACAGGCACCTCCAGGAGGCCGTGAGCAGCATGGTTGAACTATAAAAGGTTGACCCACGAGAAGTTCCGTCTTTCAGTTCAGCTATCTTGCTACGTCACTGAGATGGAGAAACGTAAACAAATCAGCCATTCCCACGACGGATTGGTTGACCGGTTTGATCGCATTTCGATGATTGGTCAATGCCCGTGACGTCACTGAGATCAGTGGTCACAGGCGAACAATGAACTACATCTGCAAAAATGGGCTTCTCATGGGTTAACCTTATACTAGTTCAACCATGGTGAGCAGGAAGACAGTTAAACAGACACCAGCAGTATCTTGCAGCAGGTCATAAGCAGGAAGTTAGTTCAACAGACACCTGCAGTATCCTGCAGAAGGTCATGAGCAGGAAGACAGTTCAACAGACACCTGCAGTATCCTGCAGAAGGTCATGAGCAGGAAGGCGAGCAGGAAGCCGTTGTACTGGAAGTGGATGTGGTCGACGAGCAGGAGGCCACAGTTGCACACAAGCAGCAGGAAGACAGGCTGCACCAGACCTACCCCGTGGGTGCGACCAACTTGTCCCGCGCACCTGCAGCACAACAGAGACTTGGGGGACTGGGGGGACAACAGAAAGGGAGGGCAACATGAAGGGGGGACAGTAGTAATGGGGGGACAGAAGGAAGCACATAGAAAATAATGCTAGTCATAACAAAAATGAAGACATGTGGATCCTCATGGCAGATGTCATATGATCAGACAATTTCTACTGTTCAAAATCATTTGTGTAATTGTATTTGATGCATAGAAGAAAATATAGTAAAATTGGTGATGCTAAAATGGACGTGCAAGGGAGATAAAATAGCTTCATTTAATTCTCTTTTCAACTGATTTTTATTGACAATTTTGCATCTCCATTATTATAAACTATATTCTTCTACAATTATTGTTTGTCCAAAAAATTTATACATTCTCAATCAAGTTTTCAGATGAAACTTTGTTTTGTATCTGTAAATTACTTCATAAAATCAAACTTCACTCTAATAATCAAGTTAATATTTAATGATAATATCCAAATAAACCACACTTCTATTTACATTATTTTACAGAGCAAAGAACCTTTCATTGCCCTGTTCAACACCCAAAAAAGCTCACTCACAGCCTGGCTGCATAGATAAACAAGAGGTCGGTGAAGATCACTGAGAGACGCTGAAAGAGCACTGTCATGGGTGATGCATAGTCCAGGTTGTTAACCTCAAGCATGGCTGGGTCAAACAAAACTGCCACCTGAAAATAAAAATAAGAATGAGCCAAACAGCTATTGAGCAACCAATGCCTCTGCCTGCAACTATCATAATCAATACACAACCTTCAAAATAACATTCAGTGTATACAGCATATGCGTGGAACAGACACTGCTTATGCCCAAATAAATGTGAGGCAGGCCAAAAAATCAACAACAATATCCACAGTTTGCAATAACAAATGGGGCACTGGCATTTGTTACATAAAATATTTTTTCAGCACCCTGCATAATCCTGGAGATGTCCAGAAATTCTAGTACCTTCTTGGCAAATCATACAGTTCATGTGCAAGTGTACAAAATAATGCTAAATTTTTCTTACTTCATCAGTGCACAAATCATAAAAAAGTGATATATATATATAGTCAGATGGGGTAAGACAGGACCGAAATCACTAACAAGCCTGTAGCATCTATACCATGAATAACTAAAAAACCCTAAACCTATCACAAGGTGTAGTTATGCAATAAGCTTCTAGGCTACAACTCAGATGTTTTGCATCTAACACAGTTTTCTGTACAGATTAAAAAAAGTGAGCTGGTCCCATCTTACCCCACTGGGGTAAGATGGGACCAGGCATGGGGTAAGACAGGACCAACTGGCAATTCTTACGTTACAAGGTTTTTAATAAAAGTACAAATCTGATATTCAATATTATCCATCTAGAAACACATTATTTGATTAATCAACCACTTGTTACTTTTGTGTTGCAGGAAGTCAACTTTAATATCAGTCACATTGGAGTTTTTGTCATGAGAAAACTTTATTAAGCATATTAATAGTGTGTTGGCTTTGGTTCATTGTAGAGCACTGCTAAATGCTTCTTGTATATTCCATTAGTGTCATAGTCTGAAAAATTTATCAAATTGGTAATAAAACCAATGGATAATAACTTAAGTATCAGACATCATGTGTTTTCTTGCTAACTGCATTTGTGGTGCACTTCTTCAAACATAGCTCATGCCCTTTCACAGAGTTGTGATCATAATTATTTTTCATGTTTCACACAATGATTTTTCCCCCAGCCAATCTTGCACATACTCGTTCTGCAGCTCACTAATGGGAAGAGACATCCCTATTTTCTATATCCATTTGATGCAATTTAAAATAGTGCACTAAATTTCTCTAATTTAAAAAGCTAACAAGTTATAATGAAGTTTGAGCAAAAGATAAAATTTTTGGCCAAAATACTCCATGTACTATACAATAATGTATTCATTTAAAAACTATTTTTGATAAACTGTAGGGTAAATAGAGGACCATTTGTGAGGTAAGACAGGGCCATTTGTGGGGTAAGATAGGACCACTTGTGTGGTAAAACAGGAGCATTTAGCGGTCCTGTCTTACCCCATGTCCGGTCCTTTTTTACCCCAATTTAGAATACATGTCAAGCAGTGATGGTAGCAGGTAGGAATGCCTAGTATGTCTAAAAAGTTGCCTATTACTTGAGGTTACCTGCCTACATCCACAAACCTGGCCAAAAAATTTTTTGTCATTAGATAGAGCTTATTTCCCAAACAGGGTTAACTATTTTGTGACCCTTCTTTACATAGGTTTTCTTAAAAAATTAGCCAGAAATTCATTATTTGCAGAAGAGGGTTGCCACAAACACTGAAATGACAGGCAATGATTGCTCTAACATATTCTTTTGTCAAATTGAATTCAGTGCAATTAGAATGCACGCCATGGGCTGGTCCTTTCTTACCCCATGAAGGCTGCGATCCTGTCTTACCCCATTTGACTATATATAAGCAGCAAATCCAGTAGCATTTTCACTAATACCAGTATAGTTAGCTATAACCTAGATACTCATTAATCATCTGAATGTAATTTTAATATTTATTTTTCTCTAGATAATATGTTACTACTGTAGTTTTTAAGTTAAGTGGTAACTAAGAACTCTGTGTGGTAACAGTGACACTCTCTAACTAACAATGTCATAGCTGGATCTATTGCAATTGCTGTTTGAAGTGAATAAAAAAACTATAAGAAAATGTGAATGGAAAGCAAACAGTAATAGAAAAAATTCTAATGGAGAATGTAGTGAGTAACCTTACCTTTAAAGAAAATAAGTAAAAGAAAGGGGATACCCACCTTAGCCAGCAGCCACTCAAACCATGCAAAGAGAGGTGGGTAGTCAAGTGTCCACTGAGAGGTCTTGTCAACATACCACTGGCTGAGAGGTAGGCTATGGGTGATGGCTAGCCAGTTGCGGTGCACCTCAAAGTCCGTTGAGTGGCTGCAAAATTAAACACAACTTAAAACAAGCAGGACATGTAGCCATTTATCACAATTAATGTAACATTGGGAAAGAATATAAGGATTATATAAGTTTTAGGAATTACATAGTTGTGAGACAGCCAAACAAACATCCAGAGGTAACTATTTTTAAGGTAAAAGTAAGCACATTTTTGTTTCAGTCATGGGTGGTTCATGTCAAATTTTCCTGTTTGGCAGACACAGTAATTTTTCCACACTAGTTAAATTTTAAATACATAAAATTTAAATATGTAACATATACATATGTACAATAAAGCCACAAGATTAATAATTTACCCAGAATCTTTGAATTTAAGGTGACAAGATTCAGGTGAGTCAAAGAATCCTAATATCAGGCATATAAATGTTAACAGAAGCATGACATTGAAGCAATAAATTGTAAATTTCTTCAAGAAATAAAAATTATGGGGCATGAAATTTGCAATACAACCATTCTTACTTTGAAACTTTAAAATTCAGTAAAACTACATAATTATTGACATAGTTTTCAACCAAACTGGAAATTTGGCTAGAAGTCACCCATAAACCATATTCCCATAATTGACACAAAACTGCCCTTGAATCCTTCATCAGTTGGAAATTGAAAATTTTACTGGTTTTAATGGCATTTGCTCAATCACTCAAGTTATGATAAAGAAAAATGACATTTTTTTGGCTTCTGATAATAGAAGATTCACTATGAAAAAAATATTTTCAACATAAATTTTCAGAAAATTTCATTAACTATTCTTTGTGAGATTTGAGAGCAATATAGCATTCTTAAAAATTATAATAATTTTAATTCTTGTTCCTCTACTTTCTAGAATAAATCCAATCTCGAATATCAGTCAGAATTAAAAAAATCATCAGAAAAGTCATAGAAACAGGTTTAATTAGCCAGACTTATGGGCAATTGGGCATTTTTGTCAATTTTTGCTAGCATCTTGCTATATGCTAATGTGCTAATTTCACTAATCACCTAATGTGTTTTGTGTTTTTTTGCTGATATGTTTTTCAGTTGTTACATATCTTAGATATCTAAAGCATCTAGCCTATGAAGCAAAATAGAGCTAGGTAGGCCTATCTTCGACTTCCAAACCTTAACTTATATGGAAACTACCTAAGTTCCAACCCTACCAGTACCAAATCTGCCCTGTAATGTTCCTTAAGATTAAAAGAAGCCAATATCCAAATATGCATTAGAGAATACCATAATAATATCGATGCATATGAATTGAAATTTGAATGCCATATAACGTAACGACAATACTCACTAACAAGGTAAAAATAGCAGCTTGAGACATGAAATTCCCAAACAAACTAGCCAGAATTGCAAATTATAGGCCATTTTCCAAGATAAAATTTATTCAAATCCGGAAAAGTTAGATCAAATTCACAGACACAGCGGTAAATATTGTTCTAATGCCACAGCTTCAATCCCAATTGACCCTAAAATTTCAAAACAGAGAACTACATGTGCCGGATTGGAAGAGAGTGTACTTTCTTGCGGATAGCAAAATGAGTATTTCCTGGATACGACATTTTGTCGCGTGAATATAAGAAAATTACCGCATTTTAACAAACTTTTATGACGAGGCTTGTTCGATAATTTTAGTCGGAATTCATTTTAAATAAGATCTCAATAATTTGCATTAAAATATCAAGTAGCCAATTGTTCTGGATATGTGTTGAGAATGATAGCACTCATTAACCGAGGGACCAAAACAAAGAGCTTTACTTGAACTACGATAGCACCTGGCTTCATTGACTAAATCTAAGGGAATGGCACTCCTGGTCTAACACTTCTCATATACGAGTGTACTTGGGCTTAAATATCAAGACAGTATACAAGTGTACTCATATAAGATATAGATATCGACGTCACACAAGAAAAAGAGTGTGCGTTGAGAAATCAAGTTGGTAGGTGTCAGTCATTACCTACGCAGATGAGTGAGGCAATTGGAGAACGGAAAATTTTTCTCAATAAATAATATAAGAAACTATACAGCCAGAATTCCAATCTTTTATTAAATCGAGGTCTTTTAATATTATGGTCCTTTAGTTACAATAGAGTATTAGTTAATGAGTAATACACTGGCGACATTGATGGCCTGTAAAGAAGTAAATCCTATCAATAATCTTCTTGAGATTAAAAAATAAAGAATACAATGTGACGTGCAGTAATACAGCAAATAATTTACAGGTATCCTATTCGTGTGACCTACGGAGCAAAACCTGCTCCGAGGGTCGGCCTGGAGATAATGATTAAGAACTTAATTTGAACGCGACGTGAACTTCATATGCTGTTCCCAAAATTAGAGGGAGAGGTTAATTTATAGTAATCAATGAAACTAGCAAGTTTTGTATACTACAGTCTTGCATAAAAGAATAGTTACACCTCGGAAAATTGATCACATAAAAGAACGTGGCCTTCATATTTTCAATTGTTTCGTAATATTAGTATTCTTTTAATGTTTTACGTAAATTGATTTCCGCGTATTCACGCTGAATTCGTTAGTATTTGTTTTTTAATATAAATTAGTGCTAATGCACATGGCTTGCTGCCACACGGCTATGAAGAAGTAAAAAGTTTAAGAAAAAAGTAATAGTTGGTACCCGCCGTACAGACTTCCTGTCCTCCCCGCCTCTAGTTTTTGTTAGCGCCATGCGTACCCCACGCAAAAAAAAAGTTAGAGTACGGCGCTCGCACGGCCGTGATGCGGATGGTCACAAGTCGTCAGTCCAGTTACACTGGAGCGCGCGCAAAAGCAGGTTGTGTTGCGCGGTGCTGAATTTTAGTGCCTGACTACCGTGCGCCTTAATGCTGCAGGTGTTGCCGACATTTCGTTTTCAGTGCTTGTGGATGTAGTGAAAAGTACAAGTAGGCAGATGCATTTCCATGTCACACAATATTGTTTCTACAGGCTCGTCACATAATATTATTGAACAGGATGTCATACCGAATAATTACGTCGAGAAAAAAAAAAGAAATATCTTATCATAAATCAAATTCTGTAGCCCAATTAATGCCAAATAATCGGTAATAATATTTTATATTAATTAGCCCAAAAACTGCGACCAATGTCATAAGTTGATAGATTATAAGTTACGTAATTATTAATTTCATAAAGTCAAAGTGGGTGAGTGATACTCGTAAGGACCTTTCGGGAGTTCCATCCAAAGATACCACTTTCAGCAAAACTAAATTACAATGGAAACATATGAGAGCAAACAAGATTTAATTCCATACATATGTCGCTGAAATTAAAAATAAAAACGCTACTTACATAGCATGGGAGCCGATACAACTGATGACGTGATTTTGCTGAGATGGATTTCGATGTAAAATGGTTTGAGAGTGGCAAAGCATATTTCACAAGTCTTTACAATGTACTTTTGTAATGCACGATTATACTGATCTCTGCAGCGTAAGATGCTTGCATACTTGAAAATGCATTTTAACTGAATGATCTAACTTCTCTATCATTAAGGCATAAATAAATTATAATGCAGTGGGCTATGTACAATGTATTCTAAAAGTTATTTGCAATTCAAGGAGATATTCATCATTGGTGGGATTATATTATTATTTGAAGCCATAAATTAAAAAAATTTTCACTTAAAGTATCAAATACATCTAAAATAAGTTTAATTGAAGTTCGGAACAATACATTTATCATATTTATTTAAGTTACCAAATAAACTTTTCGCGAGTCTAGATGGTTCAGAGATTATATACGCTAATTTCCTGTGAAGTTGTCTCCCAATAACTTTATCGTTCAAACTGATTATATAATTGAACCTAAAGTACGAATTTAAAAAGCATCATCGTCATTATTAATCGAGGAACCTAAAATGAATAATACGTAGAATGAAATTTTTCATGAATGGAATCGAATAATCGAAATTCACCAAGCGCAGCGAGAAGGATTTTTATCGAGGCAGTATTACATAGTTTACGGGATTTCTTTGATTACTGAAAAAAAAAACATTCCATTCATGACACTTCATTGATGGTTCTGAGCAGTGGTAAGTTCTGTCTGGCGTGGGCATGGAAAGCGAGGCAATACGTACTAGTCAAGGCAAAAGTTCTGTTTGTCGTAAGCGGTTAAAGTAAAACAAAGCGACAAGCCAAGGCAAAAGTTGTATCTGACGTGGGCATGGAATGCCAAGGCAAAAGTTGTGTCTGGCTTTGCCCTGGAAAGCGAGGCAATACGTACAAGTCAAGGCAAAAGTTCTGTTTGTCGTAAGCGTTTAAAGTAAAACAAAGCGACAAGCCAAGGCAAAAGTTGTACCTGACGTGGGCATGGAAAGTCAAGGCAAAAGTTGTGTCTGACGTTGCCATGGAAAGCGAGGCAATACGTACAAGTCAAGGCAAAAGTTCTGTTTGTCGTAAGCGTTTAAAGTAAAACAAAGCGACGAGCCAAGGCATAAGTTGTGTCTGACGTGAGCATGGAAAGTCAAGGCAAAAGTTGTGTCTGGCGTGGGCTTGGAAAGTGTGGCTAAACGACAAGCCAAGATAGAAGTTCTGTTTGTCGTAAATGCTTAAAGTAAAAAAAGATCGATAAGGCAAGGCAGTAGTTGTATCTGACGTTGGCATGGGAAGTGATTCAATACGACAAGTCAAGACAAAAGTTGTGTCTGGTGTGGGCATGGAAAGTGAAGCAAAACGACAAGAGAAGATAAAAGTTGTGTCTGTGGTGAGCATGGAAAGTGAGACAAAAAGCCAAGTCAAGGCAAAAACAAAAACGATCGATGAACAGGGAACACTTTAGAGGTTTGTGTGCCAAGCATGAGGCAAAATTCAGTGTGTGCAGAACGGGTTTCTTGCAACTTTATGAACGACCCAAAACCTGCTTTTTATATGTAAATGATTGAAGAGAAACTGGTAGAACAGGTATTTAAGTTGACATTACTTGTGATCCTGATACAGTAGAAAGATCTCGCATATAAAAAAGTGAAAGTTTGCCTTTAATGTTCTCTTCAATTGAGAATAACTGAAGAGAACATTGAGAATTGAGTTCAATTGAGAATAACTAAACATAGTTATGGGTAATTTTTATTTGGATAGAATAATTTGAAAATTCACCCATACTTCCATATAATGCTGCGAAACCTAGACAAATTTCTGAAATTTTAAAATCATTATTTCTGCCAATATTAAATATTTAGAGCTGCAAGACATAGAAAAGACAGTTATAGAAGTGACCATATTAATGAAATTGTCTTATAGAATAATTATAGAAGTGATCATAATTAGAGCTGCGAGACATGGAAAAGACAATTATAGAAGTGACCATATAACAATAATAATTTTTCACAGCATTAAAATCTCAGATAAAATTTAGATTGAAAAATAAGCAAGCTATGTGTGATGATCGATGCGTGATTGCAGGGCCGCGATTCTGGTCCCCATATGTGGAACCCGAATTGTATTTTGTGAAATGTTATTATTTGTTTTATTGTGCATGTTCACTCATTATTGAGCTCAATAAAAATAAATATTGCAATATATGCCACTTTGAGGCATCTATTTCTGCTTCAAAAAACATATTTTATTTAACTGTCATCATAATTCGGCGGCGAAACGACAAGTCAAGGCAAAAGTTCCGTTTGTCGTAAGCACTTAAAGTGAAACAAAGCGACAAGACAAGGAAAAAAATATAACTCAGTACTCACTGCAGTGAGTGACAAAGAGCGCATTTTCTCGTCGACGAAAACGTGAAATCACGGACGGACAGACGGACGGACGGACGTGGAGAGCACAATAGCGCCTTTTTTCCATAAATGAGAAAATACGCTAAAAAGACATCATCTTTACGTGTACATTTCGAGAATTTCCTATAATAAAATTCAATGCTCTAATATATGATAGGAAATTGATACGACACTCAGATGGGTAATACTTTATAAGTGTGTTTTTGAAAAACTTTGATTTAATTTTAATAATATTATTCGTATATATTGTTTAATTATAATTCAACTAATTCCTTCGAGGAAAAAGAAAGCTTAACTAAATTCCATTGCTTTTACTTGCTTAATAGAGGAAAATTGATGCGTCGCTGAATTGTCGCGGGCGAGACTAACGATGATGTAACTCTAATAAAATGCGAGCGACATAATAATAATAATAATAATATCGGTTTCAGCGTTATTAGGCCGTAGGCCTGTCGCCGATTCTTAACATCGCAGAACATTCACAGCATTTTGCGGTCTCGAACTCGCAACTCACTGCTACAATTCTGCTGTGCTTAACCGCCCGGCCTCCTTGCCGATTCAGACCAGAAACTGGCGCACAGAGCTGGGATCGAACCCGCGCCTCTCTGCGTCAATCTTGGTACTCTGAACTCTAACCACTGGGCCACCAAGAGACATGAATTTGGAAACATGGTCTTATATACTGTAATGAAAAATAAACATATAAAAAATTCAATGTTAATCAAATTGTAAAATAAAGGCAAGTTTGATATATCACTTCACCTTCAGATTACTTCAGTAACGATGAATATCCGCTGAAATAATGACAACAGTCAAGTTATGAAGTCCTCGGTATTTTTTTTCAGCTCGCTAATTTCCATTGATTTATAGGGCAAACATTTCTCCTTCTTTCATTCTCACTTTTTATCTAAAAATATTAAGTAGGCCCCAGCGTCATTCGAATTACCATTGAGCTAATTGATATAAAAAAAAAACTCAGTACTCACTGCAGTGAGTGATAGAAAGCGCATTTTCTCGTCGACGAAAACATGAAGTCACGGACGGACAGACAGACGGACGGACATGGCGAGCACAATAGTGCATTTTTTCATAAATGAGAAAATGCGCTAAATAGCTTCACAGACAGACGGACGGACATGGCGAGCACAATAGTGCATTTTTTCATAAATGAGAAAATGCGCTAAATAGCTTCTTCATCTAAATTTAGAAAAGCCAAGGCCAATTGCTAGGGACGCTACCGCTGCCTATTAGATATTCGAACTAAAATTATATACGTATGGATGGGCAGAGCGTATACCCTTCATGGCGACCAAGATTTATGATTATTATTATGTTAATAATGACTGGTTGTAAGATTTTTATTTAAATTTATATTCAGGCCAAATTATATTGAAATTTTCGCGATTGTTAAAATAATAATTTTGACAAATGAACATAATAATAATTACAATAATGACACAATCATTATTGAAGCATAACTTGATTTTTTAGAGGCTTTAAAAATTGTAAAGGGGGTAATTTTCATGCATTTCTCTCTGCAGCTGAAATATTGAAAAGTAAACAACGTGACGGTATGTTGCTGTGATATCTTTTTCAGGTGTAACATGAACTTGCCAAAATGAACTTTAATCGAATCGTGATACAGTGTTTTGATAAGTACACATAGAATCAATATAATATTTTTGGCAATACAAGATTTGATGTTAAAAAAATCAAGTCAAAAATCATAAAATTAAAAGAAGAAGGAAAAGCCCAGTAGATTCCAAGATGGTAAATATTTTTGGCAATACAAGATTTGATGCTGAAAAAATCTAGTCAAAAATCATAAAATTAAGAGAAGAAGGAAAAGCCCAGTAGATTCCAAGATGGTTAATATTTTTGGCAATACAAGATTTTATGTTGAAAAAATCTAATCAGAAATCATAAAATTAAAAGAAGAAGGAACAGCCCAGTAGATTCCAAAATGGTTGCCCCCGATCCTGCCATGACGGAGATCAGCCTCGAGGCCGTGACGATGTCTCAGCTGCAGAAGACTGCACCTTCAGAACATGGGTCACCTCGCGAGAACTTAGGTCATCGTTGTATACATCAAGATGGGTGCTCAAATTGCCACACGTGAGTTTTTTAATGTTAACTAATAATTTCAGTTATGAGAATAATCAGGTAAACATGTTAAGATACTTTGCAACGTTAATTAATAATGTCAATCGTTTGCTTGAATCGCAAATTCACTAAAAACTTAAAAGCAAAGAAAACTCCACATAAATTCAGTTCTAGAATTTTCAAACTGACGATGGAGCTGGACTCCGAAACGTTTTCTTTAAAGATACGATGAATTTTTGTGGAGTTTTTTTGCTTTTAAGTTTTTAGCAACGTTAATTAATTAAGAAAGTACTTTATACATAGATGGACTGAGAATACAACGTTGAAAATGCACAGGCTCAAATATAAAAATTCGAAGTTTATTTTCAATTTGTATGAGGCACTCATTGGGAAATGGTTCCTCTTAATCTAAATGTATTTCTTTATTTTATTTCACCCATTACGTCATTGTATTTTATTTCACCAATTTCTGTAAAAAGTCTCAGCATTTGTTAAAAACCTGCAGATGGAAAAGTCTTTCATAGTCAGATGAGTCTTTCAGCGACGAGAAATTAAGATAGATTATGAGATAAACTTGTAATTGATCTTTTTTTTCAGACACGAAGTATCAAGTCACGTTAACTCAAACTCCAACATGAATGTTCTCGGCAAGATCTTCGTCCGCATTTTTCCTGGCTCAAGATGCGTCCAAAATAATAACCCAATATTTGTTGAAACGGTTGGCTCGATACTCTCAAAATTGTTCAGTAAATTAGGCGGAGCCGTCGCTGATTTTCCGCTATATTTTCTGTTCATTCCTCTGCTGCTAACCATCATCCTTGCAACAGGATTTTCTAAACTTGATATAAATAAAGATCCCGAATTTATGTTCTCGCCCACAAATGGACGAGCCAGAAAAGAAAGAGCGTTATTTGAACATTATTTTCCAGTGGACTTTTCAAAAGATTTCACACCCGATAGAAGAATTCGAAATGATCGTTATATCCAATTGTGTATTACAGCTAAATATGGAAATAATCTGATCAACGACGCACTCTGGAATGAAATAATAAATTTAGACCGGCTTGTGCGGACATTCGAGTTCTATGACAAAAACATGTCACTCACATACGCAGATGTATGCGCAAAAAACGGAGGAAAATGTGTCGGCAACAATTTTCTGGACTTTGGTGATCGAATGAAAGAAATTGAAGCAAAGAAGTTCAATTTGACGTTTCCGATGATGTTAAATCCCAAGAGTTTCGAGAATTACGTGTTTCCAACGTTCTTAGCAGGCGTTAAGCTTTACCCTGGCAATGTCATCAAGTCGGCCGAAGCGATGCTTCTTAATTATTGGGGCGACTCTTCGACGCCTGAGAAAGATCGCTTGTAAGTTTCCATAAACGAAAAAGTACGATTGTTAGCACTAAAAGAACCAGTTATTGTTGTATATTTGCCATTATAAAACTTATTAGTTGGAAAAATATAAACAAAATATGAATAAAATTTTACTGAACATTCATGATGCTTCGCACTTCCTGTCAAGCCCCAGTGATATCGAATTGAAATTACATTTGTAAATTTATTTCACAATATTTATTTTGCTTAGATCACAATATTTATTTTGCAATATTTTAAGCTTAAAATTATTTCCTTTACCGGTTTCAGAGGCGGTTTGTGGGAGAAACAATTTCTCAAATACTACTTGCAAGGATTGAACTCCACTAACTTGAAAGTCGCGCTCCATTATTCGAGGACTGTCGAGGACGAGCTGGAGGAAAATACGCTCTCGGTTGTGCCTTATTTCACAGGAACAATTGTCTTGATGTTTCTAGTAACATTAGTGTCGATCAGCATGGGTGACTGTGTCAGAAGCAAGACTTGGTTGGGTTTAGCTGGGATGATCAGTTCTACCTTAGCCAGCGCAACGTCTTTTGGCTTACTGTTGTATTGCGGTGTACCTTTCATCGGGATAAATCTTTCTGCTCCGTTTCTTATGCTAGGTAAGTTGTAAAACTTAAGAATTTTATGAAAATAATAACAATTTTTCGTTTAAAAAAATTTGAACGTCATTGGAAACAAGTTAAAGTCAAACGAAGGAAATATCTTATTTCTTTGATACATTTTATGAAGCTAATGCAACAATGATATTTGATCAGCTATATTTTACTGTGTAGTACTGTTTTATGACCAAAAATGTACCAATGTTTGAAGTTTGAATAGAGGAGACACATAAATGATACATGCTTGAATCGTATTACACTGGCATTTTGTGGTTAGTGTATTTTGTGGTGGTAAGGTATAAGTTTGGTGTCTCCATAGGATGATCCTTGAATTTCTGTCTCCACTTTCCAGAGGAGCAAAAGCATAGTTTTTCACTGGCGTATTTTTCGTTAGTAATTATTTACGAGTATTAATTCAAATTTTCATATTAATTATTACCAATCAAGCTGTGCAATTGGTAAGAGTGAGAATCAGTTAGATATTCGATGAATATTGCTTATTGTCGAAATACTGTAGGACAAATTAGTTTTTTTCGGAATTAAATTAAAATAGGATCAATAATAACGCGCTTAATTGTACCATCTTCAAAAATGTTCTCAAAACTGTCGGTTTCTGCGACAGGTATCGGGATGGACGACACTTTCGTTTTGGCCGCCGCATGGCAAAGTACGAAGTTCCAAGATTCAGTAAAAGAAAGAATGTCAAAAACTTACGCTGATGCTGCTGTCTCGATTACAATAACGTCTCTCACCAGCGCAATATCATTCTTCATCGGTACCTTGACTCCATTTGCCTCCGTTCAAGTGTTTTGCCTCTATTTAGGTAAGTTAATACTGTTTAATTCATTCCGTCATGTACGGACGCATAAGCATACTTTTTAGCGCATTTTCTCATTTATAGAAAAAATGCACTATTGTCCGTCCGTCCGTCCGTCTGTCTGTCTGTCTGTCCGTTCGTCTGTCCGTGACCTCAAGTTTTCGTCGACGAGAAAATGCGCTCTCAGTCACTCACTGCAGTGAGTACTGAGTTATATTTTCTTACCTTACAGACTCAATAACTGCTATAATTACTGATTAAGAAACAGTTAGGGGTAATTTTTCAAGGCTGCTTTTTCTCTTGAAGTTACACGGTATTCGCCAGGTACGTCTGTGATGGTCACGTACGTCTGGCACATTACCTTCTTCGGAGCGTGTTTGGCGCTGAGCGGCTACGCTGAGAAGAAACAAATGCACAGCATCGTCTGCTTGAAGGTCATGGCAATTTCTCAATCTCGTGAGTAACTAAATGACTGAATAGATATATAATAATATATGTTTATAGATACTTTTAATTCCGATCTTACTAGGTTATCGTTTTGACTTGATTAACATCAATTCTAGAAAATGATGCTGATTTGTCTCAAAACGTATTGTAAAAATCCAGCTAGCCTAACAAACATATATATAATATAATTTTGTCCTGCGTCGCAAGTTCAGCTGTGATGGTTGTAGCGTAGGGGGAACTATAGTGGAAGTTATCCCGAGGTTTGACAGGTAGCATTTGCCTCATTTCGAAAATCAGTGTTGATAAACAAAGAATTAATTAACAAAATACGATAAAAATATGGTCGGATGTATTCAGAATGAATTCAGGCGACACACTTCAGATAATGTAACGATGGATAATGTTTCGATTCACACAAATAAAGTTCTTTTGTAGCGCATCTGGAAGAATGATAACTTTTCTAACCAGCAATTATATATTCTAAAAAATTTCAAATCTTAAATATTAAACGTTATCTTCACGTAGTTTTCGTTTTAATTTGCATGACAGTAACGTACCGTCGATGTTGACACGCAAGTGCAGATGTAAACCCTGTATCAGTCTACGAATCCCATCGAATCTTACTCAGTCTTAGACACGATCTATAAAATCTACTTTTAGTTCTTTTTTTGCAAGAATTAAAAATGCAAAACATGCATTAATAAAACCACAATATGAGCATCGCAGCAGCAACTGGAGCTGGTGAGGCTAGCTTGAGAGCGCCTCTAACGACCTTCTGCCAGCGGCTGGCCTAGTCTCCCCAGTAAAAACTGTAATGTGCAGCCTGGGTATATATAAATGCCTGGGTAAATGCCTGGGCAAATGCTTGCAAAAAGCTGTATGCAAACATTTTTATTATAATAACAATCGTTCTTAGTTAATTAAATTTCGATATGTGGTAAATCCCAACGAAGAGTGAAATTTTATTATTAAATTATAATTTTAAATTATGCAATTCATTAAAACTTAAATTGTATATATTCAAAATGAATGATTAGCAATAAATTTTACGCTAAATTTTATTTTTTCCATGCCAAAAATTGGAAGCCGGTTTCACGCCTGCGTCATGAGGCAAAAACGTTAAAATTGTTCTAGCATATTCTTCTCTCTCATCTCTTGAGGATATTTAATATTTTGAGATCTTTTTTACTGAATCAAAGGTCGTTTTTTATTTGCTGGTTCCTGCTGCTGCGGAATACCCAATGCGAACAAGTTAACATCGCTGCCGTCCACTGCACATTTTTTTTCGTATGATATACTGGGCAGGACATAATAAATATAATACATACACATAGGCATAACATATAATCGCAAAATTAATAATTTTTTTAATTCGTCAAACAACTATTTTCTGGAATGCCAAGGAAATTCAATCAATCTTCAACTTAAATCTGTACTCAGATCAACATCATTAGCATTATCAGTAGGTACAAAAATTCAGTAATATAACTATTCAATAATACAATGCTAGGTATTTAACAACCTTTGCTGTTGAATACCTTTTTATATATTACTTTTGCATTGGGCAATGGGCATACGTGTCACGCACAATGTACAAGAAATCGATGTTATGAGCATCCTAAGTTTTAGCGTGGTGCTGCGCTAGTAAAAAGTAAGAAATATTTATGCACACTCGAGTTTATGTCGTTTCTTCTGTTCGAAATTAATGATTTTATTTTTCAGTCAAACAGTATGTACAATGTTAATTTCATGTTTTAGGTTTTATGTTTGTTTTTTGTTTGTTTTGCAGAAACTGATGTTAATAGGAAAGCTGAAGGTACAATCGTAAAATCGTGTATTCAAATCCCTCCTAAACGAATATTTGTAACATTGGTGCTAACTGTATAAGAGATATCATATCAATATTTTTTTGAACTGCCGATGGAACTGTTATACGTTTTAAATGTATAAATAAGAGTACGTTTTTTATATTATCTTTGCTTTCAAATTCATGCATAATGCGATTTGAGCGATTAAAGTGGTACCCATACTTGGATTCATCCGGTAAAATGAATGAACAATTTTACAAATTAACTTTTAAAAATCAAACCCCTGCAAATAAATTAAAAGTAATTATTTAAAATAATTTTAATGACTTTTAAAAATCAAATCCCTTATGGTCGAATTAGCAATACCCGAGTGAATATTACTTATTACCTGAATTACCAATTGCTGTGCAGAAGGAAAATCTCGACTGTACAGATGGTTCTGCGCGGGAGGAGTCGCACCAGACAACCTCGACAACCCTGCGGACAATAAACAACACTCCGTCATGATCTTATTTCGGGACTACGTGGCCAATTGTCTAAATATGGCCTACGTCAAAGGTAATCGAGGAATTTTAACTTTAAATTCGCTTGATAAATAAATGCGCACCCTCGCGGGACTACGTGGCCAATTGTCTAAATATGTCCTACGTCAAAGGTAATCGAGGAATTTCATCTTTAAGTTCGCTTGATAAATAAATGCGCACCCTAAACGAAAAATAACTGATTCAAACGTTTAAAAGCAGCTATCTCAATCAATCGTCAGCTATGGAAAGAACGGGTTCCAAAGGCCGGATCCCTTGTAAATCAAGTCACGAAAAGTTCAAGAATCGGCAACAGGCCATGGGCCTATTTCTTCAACGCCGACACTTCTATTCTATTCTAACATATATATATATATTCCGTTCCAAACTCCTTAAAAAATCAAAGGCTTGGTTTTGGCTCTATTTATTTTGTAACATAGGATTAAATGTCTTAAATGAGCACCACTTTTCGTATCCATGATATTGAGGTCACATGCTAGCAGATGAGAACGAATGTGAACTCATGTCAGGTGATTACTGAAAGAAGTTAGTTCTTTAATGCTCGTTATTTATATTTTTATACTGAGTGTAGAAACATTTGTTATAGTTTTGCACTGTTTCATTCCCTATATCACAGGTTGTTCGTTATTTATATATTTATACTCAGTATAGAAACATTTGCTATAGTTTGTATTGTTTCATTCCCTATATCACAGGTTGTTCGTTATTTATATATTTATACTCAGTATAGAAACATTTGTTATAGTTATCATTGTTTCGTTCCCTATATCACAGGTTGTTCGTTATTTATATATTTATACTCAGTATAGAAACATTTGTTATAGTTTGGCATTGTTTCGTTCCCTATATCACAGGTTGTTCGTTATTTATATATTTATACTGAGTATAGAAACATTTGTTATAGTTTTGCATTGTTTCATTCTACTTATATATTTATACTCAGTATAGAAACATTTGCTATAGTTTGGCATTGTTTCGTTCCCTATATCACAGGTGTTGTTGTGATGGTGTTTGCGGTGTACATAAGCTTTGCAGTCTACGGGTGCACCGTTATTGGTGACGGTATGGAGATGCGTAAAATGGTTCGCTACGACTCCTACTCCCTGAACTTCTTTAACTTCGTGGATAAGTATTTCAGCAGCTTCGGATATCGACCTATGGTGAAAATATATAATATTAACACGTATGACATAAATAATACATATAATATATATTAATAATATATAATAATAAATTGTGTGACATTAAAAATTGTCATACGGTGCATAGGAGAAGGGATTGTAAATAAAGACAGGTTCTAATTATATACATAGCCGTGTCTGGAATAGATTGATAATATTGATATAGATTGATAGATTGATAGATTGATATAGCTTGATAATACAAAGGAATTTCCGTAAAATTTGTATGATTTTTAAATGTCAGGTAATTAGAAATATCAAAAAGTTACGTACACTTTACAATCTTGAAAGCGAAAACGTTTTGTTGAATATAGAACCCGATTCTGCTTTGTGTAGATGAACCCCTTTATTTGCAAATCACTCAATCGTCTATTAATATTTAATAGCATTGTTATTATATTCCAATTTTCAGGTAATCAAAAATTCTTCAGAAAACGTGAATAGATCAGACAGCATGTATAAGCAAGGATTTTTAAACTCTAACACAAACACAGCAATAACAGATTTTAAATACCAAAATCTTATGCTTAATAAGCCTATGAGCCTCCATATTTAGGCACAATATACAATATATCTTCCGCAAATGTTAAGCCAAACTTAACTTGAAGTAGCAACGATAGTAGTTCATGTTAGTCATCCTCGCATATAGTTTGTATATCGCCTTGAAACCGATCAATTGACAGTTTGTCATAGTTGCAATGATGATCGATGATACAGGCCTGTAGTTTCACTAGAATGAAACTGTCGATTTCATATTAGATATATAAATCTACGTTGTTACATTGACACGAGTAAAAATAATGAACTCGCATCTTTACCTTCATTAAAATTAGACACTGTGCCCCTATTTAAAAACATTTTTCCTAATATACGCGCCGTATATACGAATATCTCATTGAGAATAATTCTCGAGGCAACGGTTAATGTCTGTTTTTTTTTGTAATAAATACATTAATGTCAGTAATGTGTCTAATACGTTGATAACTCTCTATTTGGCGAAGAAGAGGTGTATAGGACAGGTGGGTGTAGTGAAAGAAAAGTGTTGATTCTGAAAGCGATTCCAACTCTCTAGATTGAGTTTTATTTAAATGTGAACTTCATATCTAAAATCAGTTAACGTTATTTTAATAAAATCCTATACTTTTATTTCCTGCAGATAATGTTCACTGGTAACATCACATACAGCGACCCAAGTACCGAGGCGGCTATTCTCGATTTCATTGAAAAAGTTGAGAGCCTTCCTTCCATTGGTGATCCTTTGTATACGGACTGCTGGGTCCGGCAATGGTCCCGGTTCATGGCCAAGAATGGAAAATATCAAGGATTGAACAATTCTAATGAAGAAACATACATCCGTAATCTCAAAGAGGTAAGGCATGGGGAAATAGTATAAGATCATAGACATTTTAAAAAAGTTTTGTATTGTCGACAAATAACAAGAAGCAGTAATATTTCAAATCAGCGATGATTCTTAAAAATGCCGAGTAAAAATTTAAAAACAGCAGTTGAGTATAAAGACTTATAAGGCAAAATTTGAATAGGGAGACGAGAAGACGCTTTGCGAGTCGGGCAGGAACTATAATAGAATTTTGTGAGCTTAACTACAGGAAGACGTCGTATGTGAGCACAAAATGTTCTGATTCAGCCGTTTTAGTAAGCTTTTTGATGTTACGTAAAACGATAATTGCAGCAATTTACTTTTGTGCAGAAAGTTCCTTTGTTTGTTATTGCTGATGATTTCAATGAATAGGCAAACGATTTCCGACGCACACAGAAATTCTAATTTCATTTTGTTATATTCAGATTGCAGTACTACTACGACTATAATAAATTTTCAGTTGGCTGCTGACATCATAAGAGTGAAATGTGAGCTAGTCTCGTACCCTTCGCAATCTTATAAATTTGTTCATATCATCGGTAACATCAACTCAAGAAATCGATGTTTCGAAACACGCTGGAGTTTTCCTCAGATATGGAAGTATTTTTTTGCACACCACGTAGTATGAACAATTGAACATGTTAACTGGTAAACATTTATTGTTTGCCATGATCAACTTTGAATAAGTAACTGAGATGAAACCGATCTTAAATATTATGTGTCGTATGTGGCAAACACCTACGTATTTGTTTTCCACTGACTCTTTTTGTTCGATATCGTGTGTGGCACATACCTATTTGTTTTTTACGGACAATTTTTGTACGAAACTTCTCAGAATTTTTTGGGAGGCGAGACACACAGTTTCCGGACCGACATCGTCTTCAATGAAGACAACACCCGCATCGTAGCGTCGCGGTGCATCGTACAAGCGGTCAACGTCATGAACGCCGTCCGTGACCGCAGACTTTTGGAGGATCTTCGTCAATTGGCAGACGAGTCTCCCTTCAACGTTACTATCTTCAATTCCATGTTCATCTTCTTCGACCACGTGAGATTAAAGACTAATTTACAACGACATTTAAAAAATTCTAGGAGTTATGATAATAATATTTGGTTGTCATGTATAAGTGGCGATTTGTTGTTTGTTGAAGTGTTTTCGTATTTCAGCTCTCAATGGTCCGGTCTACAAGCCTGGCGACGGTCGGTCTGTCTGCTGCTGTCATGGTGGTCATAGCTTTAATCTTCATCCCGAACGCCATATGCGCTCTGTGGGTCGGACTCGCGATCGTTTCCATTGAAACAGGAGTTGTCGGCTACATGGGCTTATGGGGAGTCAACTTCGACGTTTTATCCATGATCCAACTGATCATGTGCGTCGGCTTCAGCGTCGACTTTACAGCCCATATCAGTTACGCTTATCTCGCCGCTAAAGCTGACACTCCAGAGGGACGTATGAGAGAATGTCTGTACTTACTTGGGTTACCTGTAATGCAAGGAGCTTTGTCAACCCTCATTGGGGTATTGGCTCTGATTTTGGTCCCATCGTACATTTTTATAACGTTTTTCAAAACTGTATTTCTTGTGATTTTTTTCGGAGCCGTGCATGGGCTGTTTTTCGTGCCAGTTTTTTTGTCCCTCTTTGGTCCTGGATCGACTTTTGAAAAGAAACTGTTCAAAAAATCGTAAACCGATTGGCCCGACTTAGTACGTTCTGTTTCAAAGTTAAAAATAAGTACATAGCCTATATAAGCAAATTGTTAAGATGAGTAATTTGTTTATTAGTCCTTTTAGTGTACGGGCAAAATATATTATATATATATTCGGGATATATGTCCGATATATATCCGAAAAAGTACATGGTGGTATAGTATCGTTGCTTAAGAAATTATTCTAAAATTATTGCAAGAAGCACGACAAATTACCTACCATCAAGAAATAGTTGTTGCGTACGCCTTACACTGGAAAATGATGTTGATAGAATGGTGCATATAATTAATAAAAGCATTTAATTTAAAAGAATTTGTGATCACTAACAAAATTTTGTAATCCTATTGAAGACCACTGCAGAATTGGAATCTCTTCTGTCAGTTTCCGCCTCAGTATATAATAGAGATAAGACATCTTGAATGAACCACACAGTATGTTGCAAACAACATTTCTTCGCTGCATTTCCTAGAACATAGGACAATAAACTCAAGATCAGAAATAAAATGAAGCCAAGTTAAGAAAGTCAAATTCAATTCAACATGAATAGATTTCACCCCATTAAATATGTAAAAATTTTAATGATTCAATGAGAATTTGAATTAATTTCCAGTTTGAATGAAAAATTGAATGAGTCATTAAAACGTTTTAAACGTGAAATGAAGATATGTGCCATAATTCACTGAATTCAGAAAAAAATATTCGTGAGACCACAAGAATTGTAAATTTGTAATGAAACAATTTTTCATCTGTGATGCATTCATGAAAGTCATAAATAAATTAACCAAATACGAGCTATTGCAAAGTGTATATTGACTTTAGTTTTATTAACCCTCACTTTGAAAACGACTAAACCATGCGTTAGACCTATCTGAACAATATGTGCACTCCATCGATCTCATGAAACTACTGCGTTACTTGATAAGTAGCTATATAGTACATCTACGCTGTGCTGGGGTCTAGTAATCTTCAACCTACCAAAATAGTTAAAATAACGAACACTTTATTAGACACTTGGTTTGAGACGAAAAATTACCGAGGCTTGTCTGCCGGTATACGTACTGCACAATTGAGGTCTGTTCTAGGCAGTAAACATTTTTTGATGAAAAACAATCATGCAAAAAAAGTAAGTTTTTGATGTTGATGTTTTGGAATATTTTTTACTCATTTGGATTTCACACTCAACTCATTTCTACGCTACCGAAATTCTCGCCCATTGTTTGTCAGCGGAACCTAACGTGAACATATACTGATATAGAATAGAAGTGTCGGCGTTGAAGAAATAGGCCCAGGGTATGCATGAGTAACCTTACTTCATAAGCAGCAAACGCCATACAGTTAATGTCAACAGTTGAATTTGGCATCCCAACAGCAGTGATTTGGTCAGTGTTGAGCAGAGATGAAGCCAGATTAGCCGACAGTAATCTGTCCCAGTCCCGTGTGCTTAAAATCTAGGAGTAAACCCGAAAATTCCCAGTGAACCTAAAAAATTAAATTTTGATGACGCAGCAGGAATAGAATAGAATAGAAGTGTCGGCGTTGAAGAAATAGGCACATGGGAAAAATAATAAATAAATAAAGAAATAAATAAGAAGGAAAATTTTATAACATACCTCAATCGCTAAGAGAATAAGTATCGGGTTTCAAGAGAACTACAAGCTTTGCCTTTCGTTGTGCATTAATTAACCGCCGAACGAACAGTGCCTCAATTATCCACTTATCTGCAAGACTCTTCAGTGGTTTATCCAGGAATATTTTATTCGGCTCGCGTGGATGCGCGCTATTTATCAAGAAACTATTAGGCAACTCTACTTCCATCACAGGCTTACTCGTGTACAGAAAAGGTGCTGGTGTAAACTACAGAACCCGTCCAGCATTAGTCCCAGGTTAGCAGGTGTCATTTTAGCCCGGAACTAAACTATTTTGTCTTTTCATCCGATATTTCAAATTAAAATTTTCTTTCGCACCTTCGACGAGCAAAATCAATTTCAGCGTGCGTTTAACGCAATATATCGGAACAAACCTTGGCAGTTCGACTCAGGCAAGGTTCCATGTTTGATCACGACTCAGATTCCGGGCATTGAGCGCCATTAACAAATTGTTACCCATCACAATTCGAGACAGGCCAGAGCTCAACCCACATTCAATTTTCAGTATACATAAATTTCGATGCGTCAGCTTCGACTACCATTTACAATAGAACTTCTTCGCATTCAGGATAGCAAAATGTATCTAGTTTTCATCGTTTATTAGAAAAAATTGAACTAGAAGTGACAGTAGGATGGAGTGATACTGAGTTATGCTTCAGGATAAAAAAATATATCCAGTTTTCCTCGTTTATTAGAAAAAATTGAACTAGAAGTGACAGTAGGATGGAGTGATACTGATTTATGCGATGGGTCACGGGGAGGGAGGGAGGCGCAGAAGGGGATGTGGTAGCACGGGAGGGTCGTCGTCGCTGCTGCGGGCGCGGTTGCCCACAAGCGATGGTCGCGGCTCGTCGCGTTGCGGCTGTCAAGAAGAAAAAATAAATAAATAAAATAAAAAATGAATCAGATGAACGTCGCAAAAAAATATAAATATATATATTAATAATAAATAAATCAGATGAACGTCGCTTCAATACGTCATCGTCAAGAGCGAGTCGTTAGTAATTTTGCACAGCATACACATTATATGCCACTCACGTTAACTAAAAAATAAGAGTGATAGATAATAATATGCGTTTACAAATTACTATTTAACGACAACACTTCTAAAGAATCCAGTGTGCCCAATGTTACACAAGTACATTGAATTTATATTTTCATTTGCAAACATTTGAAAAATTATTTAATAACATTTTGCATATTAAAAATATTTTAATTTTCAAAAGTATTTTTTCTGTCATATGATTCATGCATTGTCTCCGACTTTACGCAAGTGTGCAAAATTTCAGATCGTTGGACAGGTAGAAGTGTGTTGAATGTCGATTATAAGATTTGTAGCAGACAAACAAACAAACAACAAGAAGTGAAGTTAAGGAGAAGTGTTGCAAAAAAATAAATAAATTAGATGAACGTCGCCTCAATACGTCATCGTCAAGAGCGAATTATTAGTGATTTTGCACAGCATAAGCATTTTATGCCTCTCGCTTTATCAAACTTAACCTTGAACATAATAAGGACTGTCGAACCGAAAAAATATATCTGAAAGATGAAGAAAAAAATTTCTAATGGTTACACTAGAAATTTGCTCGTGTAAACTAATAAACAACACTTCTGAACAATCCAGTGTCTTGGATGTTACACATGTACAGTGAATTTCTAATTTTATTTTCGAATATTGAAAAAAAATATGTCAAAAATTTTTTAAGATATCAAAATTTTGTTAATTTTCAAAATTATTTATTCTGTCAACTGATTCATGCATTGTCTCTGACTTTATGCAAGTGTGCAAAATTTCAGATCGATTGGACAGGTCAAATTGTGTCATATATGGATTATAAGATTTGTAGCAGACGAAATTTTTTTAAATTTTTTTAATGACGAATAAAAAATGTTTTTAAATTCATAAAATCATTTATTCTGTCACTTGATTCATGCATTGTCTCCAACTTTACGCAAGTGTGACAAATTTCAAATCGATTGGATAGGTAGAAGTGTGTTAAATATCAGTTATAAGATTTGTAGCAGACAGAGACAGACAGACAACAAGAAGTGAAGTTAAAGAGAAGTGTTGTAAAATGAGACCAGTTCATATTAAATAATGTATAAAAAAATATCGATACCAGTTCAAAGCTATACATGCTATATGGAACTTAGAACACTCACTTGCTTGTCGTTCAAAAATAGGAAAATGCAGATTTTATATTCAATCTATAAATTCTGATTTAAAAATCAAATTCCAATCCTATCTTAGTCTTTACATTCCACCATACTCTGTCATGAACTAATTTTTACTCCAAGAAAATATTCCGGCGTATGGTGAATAAGCGTTTACTTAGCCCCTATTTATTTGCAGCGCCGAGCTTACAACACGAACGCACTGCTGATACACAAACTAAATTTATTATATTAAAGGTATATGAAACATTTATGTCCCGGCGACTTCAATATTACAAAGTGGTAGTCGATCCCAGAAATTTGGATAAGCCCGGACTACGCATTCCAGATGCGTTGATTGACGCAGGTTGGAATAAATCCCGTTTTCCCATCAGATAGGATGTTTGGGTCTCGAAGGACCACCCTTCCTCCCCTAGACGAAGTCAGCGCCCTAAAGACGCACCTAGACGAAGTCAGCGCCCCAAAGACGCCCCTAGACGAAGTCAGCGCCCCAAAGACGCCCCTAGACGAAGGCAGCGCCCCAAAGACGCCCCTAGACGAAGGCAGCGCCCCAAAGACGCCCCTAGACGAAGTCAGCGCCCCAAAGACGCCCCTAGACGAAGTCAGCGCCCCAAAGACGCCCCTAGACGAAGTCAGCGCCCCAAAGACGCCCCTAGACGAAG